CGCTTGACCCCAAGCCCTGGCGTGGCCGGGAAGCCACGTGCAAGGGCAGATCTGGAGATGCCATCAGCCCTGCGCTATCTCCAAAGCTCTCCTGACATCTGGAAGTCATCCCAAGGGCTTGCCACTCAACAAATAAAACCGCCTGGCTACGGAGCCCCAAAACCAAGATGCTGATGGGATGTCATGGCAGGCGGCGGGACCACAAAAACACCGAGACCGGCCGCCTCTCCGCCCCTACCGCATCCCCGAAAAGACGCACCAGAAGCATCCCAGAAGAGGAAGGACCCACAGGACCCATTCCCACAGCGACGCGGGAAAGCGGAGCACAGAGACGTCCCTGCTTGCGCCCCAGCAACAGGGAGAGGAGCGCGGCGGCGATGGGGAGGGAGCGGGGGACCGAGGGGACGGGGCATGCAGAGGGCACAGACCACCACCGGACGGGCACGGGAGGCTGGCAGGGAGGAGGCAGGATGGGTGGGCAGCTCAACACCAGGGAGAAAGCCCTCGTTCATCGCTGTACCAGCGGGAGCGGGGGGGGTGTGGGGTGGGAGGTGACAGGGGCTGGTGCCACGGCTCCTGAGGGGACAACCTGGGGCGGGAGCCGGAGGGGCCCGCGGGGAAACGGAGCGGGGGGAGCGCTGGTGTTGCGGGGGGGACCCCGAATTACTGACCTTTCCAGGGTGTCAGAGCGGTAGTTGTCTCTTCTAAAAAATTAAAGAACAAGCGAAAGTTAAGGCAAAAGGGCAATGGAAAAGCGCTGGCTTGAGATGCTTCGCTCAACCTGCCCCCGAGCTGGGGCTGGGTAGCAAGGGGTGATGCTGCTGCCCGAATCGTACCCCGCTCCTCCGGGGCCGCGGTCCCCCGCTCCGGGGAGAGGGCTGCGCGACCCGAGGCGAGCCCCAGACCTGGGACGGGCCCTGGCAAAGTCCGTGCTGGCACCCGAGCAAAAAGCACAGCGCCGGGGCTGGGATCTGGGGGGTGCCAGGGCTTCGGCTCTCCCCCCGCGCTCCTCCTGTTCCCCTCCGGCGTGGGTCTGGGGCCTCTCGCAGCACCCAAACGGGTTTATCCTCTGCTACATCCCAAACGGGTTTCATCGCCCCGACGCCAGCCTCTGGGAAGCAACGTGGACCGCGCGACCGAGGGAGAAGCGGAGGGCTTTGTTTTTTTTTTCTTTTCAGCCCCCCTCAACCAAATGATGCGGGTTCACCCAGCGCTGTCATGTCACGGACAGCGCCAAATGAGCCGCTGAACGAGGCTGATAATACCAAGCGCTACGTGTTAAATAAAGCACCAGTTGACCTCCCTGAAAAATTAGATTAAGGAAAGGATTAAAAGATGTATGCTACATTAGCCTCTGTCACACAGCCCCGGAGAGGCTCACGGCGGAGCACCCGCACGGATTTAAACCTCCATTTGGGAGGGGGGCAGGGGGAAGAACTCCGAAACACTCGCTCAGCTTCAGGGAAAAGGGGATACTCACAACGTTGTCCCCTAAAACCTCGCAGGTGAGACATTTCTCCTGGGGCAGCCACCGCATGCCACTTCCCTCTCATCTTTCATCACGATAAATAAAGACATATTAATTGCTGGACCGAAGGATCCGGTTGCTTAGGGACCGGCGAGCTCAGCCCGATGACGCTCGACGGCGGCGTGCGGGGCCCCCCGCCTTGCTGCTAATTACAGGGGGTCAGGGCGGCCTGGGGAACCCACCCCGTTTCCCCCGAGGGGATTCAATTAATAAGAACCGAAAGGATTAATCGATGCGGCTCTGTGGAAATTACAGGCGGTCAAAGGGCTCCGGTTTCATTCCCTGATGGGATTCGGAGTCGGAACGACAAAGCGAAGGGGGATCGTGAAATAGACTTCAGGCTTCTGCGGGGTGCTTCACTGCGTCCCGCCCGACGCTGCCATCACGGCCCCAGCCACAGAAAACATCGCTCCTGGGTTAGAAACCAAACTGACAGCTCTCACAAAGAAGTCACCTTGACTTCTGGGGGCTTTTCATCCAGCCTGCATCTGCGGGGGCCAGACCGAGGTCCCACACGGTGTCCGCATCCCTGAAAAACGGCGTTATCTGGGACACCGCTGATTGCCCAGGGGGGAAGAGAGGCGAGGTGGTTCCTAGGCAATGCTAATGATGGCTTAACGGGCAGGTAAAGACGCTAAGGTTCCTCACTTACACCACAGACTATTTTGGGGGGAACAAATGGTTGATAGGCTCATTAACATCCAAGGTTAGCTCTACATGGAGGGCTGCGGGCGTGGAGCCGAGCATCCCAGACGGGACAAACTGCTCTGCCGCAGCTCGGGGGAACCCGACGCACCGATACCGACAGCGGGTGAGGACGAGCCCCTCCGGCGAGCCCCACGGCTGCCGAGTGCGGCCCCCCCAGCAAGCCCGGCATCCTCTGCTCGCCCCAGACAAAGCGCTTCCCTGACCTGGGGCTCCCCCGAAACGCATAAATGATTTATGACTTCGCCAAGACCCCGGCATGGGAGATGCCCGGGATGACGGCAGCTGGTTCCAATGCATGGTCCCCCTTCCAGGGAGAACAACACTACGCGGGAGGAAGGGAGAGTGACCCAACATGCTGCATGGCCGTTGCAAAAGGGTGACAAACACCACAGAAGCACCTACCAAGCCCTTGCCAAGCCGGTCACCAAGCCCACTCACGCTGAGCCAGAAAAGCTTCCCATGTACGTACACGGCGATGGAAGGCACGAGGCGGGCATCGCCTTCGGCACAGACGCGCAGGAGGACAGCGGCAGAGAGACCAGATTGCCAGGGACACCCTTCCTCCTACACCACAATGCTTACGTCCTTCTCATAGAACGGTTCGGGCTGGAAGGGACCTTTGAAGGCCATCTAGCCCACCCTCCCTGCCCGTGAGCAGGGACATCCTCAACTGGACCAGGTTGCTCAGAGCCCCGTCCAACCTGACCTTGGATGTTTGCAGGGATGGGGCATCGACCACCTCTTTGGGCAGCCTGTGCCAGGGTTTCACCACCCCCACTGTAAAAAATTCCTTCCTCATATCCACTCTTATTCTACCCTCTTTTCGTTTAGAACCTTTTACTTCGTTTTCCTTCCACTTCTTGCGACCATCACACACCTACAAGCCGACCAAGCCCCCACATTTGGGCCCACCGGGACCCTGCTGCGCTCCAGCCCGGTCTCTCCTGTGGAAAAAGGGGTCTCCTGCACTCTGTGGATTAAATTAAATCCTTTGTAGATGCTAGGTAAGGGTTTGCAATACCAGAGGGCTCAAGGCTGCAGGAAACCAGTGCCTTCATAGAATCATAGGTTGCAAAAGACCTCTAAGATCATCAAGTCCAGCCATCACCCCAACCCCACCATGCCTGCTACACCATCTGAAGGACCCCATCTACAAGTTTTTTAAACACCTCCAGGCACGGTGACTCCACCGCCTCCCTGGGCAGCCTGTTCCAATGTCCGACCACTCTTTCAGTAAAGACATTGTTCCTAATATCCAATCTAAACCTCCCCTGACACAACTTGAGGCCATTCCCTCTCGTCCTATCGCTAGTTACTTGGGGAAGAGACCAACACCCGCCTCACTATGACCTCCTTTCAGGTAGAGAGCAATAACGTCCCGCTCAGCCTCCTCTTCTCCAGACTAAACAGCCCCAGTTCCCTCAGCCGCTCCTCCTCAGACTTGTTCTCCAGACCCTTCACCAGCCTCACTGCTCTTTCCACCAGACTCTCTTAGCGCTGATTAATGCCAAGCTCCGCACCGCTCCATGCTTCTCTTACCACCAGCCGGTATTAATGTCACCCACGGTCAGTGCTCGCCACGGGGTGGGACTGCCAGAGGCAGGGTGGGCGGCAAGGAGGACGACAACAGCGGGAGAGGACGGAGGTCCCCAAGCCCTGCACCTGCCCACCTCCCTCTGGCACCGTCGGTAAGAATACATCTGGAGCGGAAAACATGACCTGGAAGGCGGGACAGCTGTGGGGGCCGTTTATTCTCAGGGGGAATATGGTCCTGAGTGCCATCTCTCCTCCCACCGACCAGCACAGGACGACGCCTTGAACCACAGACTTTCCTAGGTATTGATGAGAGCGAGAAGATGGAAACCCGCAGCCAAGCCCTAACTCTGCACAGACGGCGAACCCCAAACGCGGTGCCAAACACCTCAGAGCAGTGGCAGACACGGGGCCTGGGTCAGGAGGAAGGTTTGGAGGCTTTCACACTTTCCCTGGGCTCACCGCAGCCTCCGACCCACGCGCCGGCGTGGAAAAGGTCATCGGCAAACGCACAGTTCCCCCACAAGACAAGGGAGACCCTTCCCGTGTCTGACACGTCGGCGGTCTCGCCGTTAAGCCCTACTCACCGTAGAGGATCATGCTGGCGTTGGTGTTCCCTAGCTGGTTGGAGGCTACGCAGGTGTAGTTGCCGTAGTCCTGCTCGGAGACGTTGAAGAAAGTCAGTCTGGAGAAGAAGGCTTTGTTCTCCACTTTCAGTCCTTTCTGTCCTTCAGCCAGCCTGGGAGAAAAGCAGAAGGGGAGACAGTCACGGAGATGGGTCAGGAGGAGAAGCACACGCTATTTTCCACGACTGGCTATAACCTGGTCCTGCCTGAGAGCGGGGACATCGAGCTTGGGGGTGAGATCAGGCATAAAGAGGGCAAAGGGATGGCACTGGGACAGATACGGGAGACAGACGCTACTCTGCTGCTCGTCCCTTAGCTGCCAGCCCACACCGTCCCCGTGCTGTCTCCGGGCGTCCCCACAGATGCTGAAGGATGGCTCTGGGGCTTGCCAGATGCCGTGCCGAGGGAGGGATGCTCAAGGGAAGAGCCCAGCTTCCCTCTCGGATCAGCCCCAAGGGCTCCTCGGTCCTCCTGGCTCTGCAGGACACCTTCCCTGACCCCCACCAGCTCCCTGCCTGCCCGTGGCCCGACAGAGGAGACGGTGCTGGCCCCGTCTGCGGCAAACCCCTTCCGCGGACCCAACGCCGGCACCACGGCGGGCTCGGCACGGGGCAGCCAGGGCACGCTGCTCAAACGTAGCAAACCCCCCCTCTCGACCGACACCACGTCCCTCCCGCCCTTCCCAGAGCGAGAGGCTGACGCTGCCTTCCGGCCAAAGCGCTTATAAAGGTGACAGGGACCCCGTCCGCTCCGGAGTACTTGGATTTGCGCTGCCAACATCGCTCTTGGCCGCCGTGCTTCACCCAAGCGGGGATTCACCGCGAGACCACGCAACGGGCGGCAGCGATCCTGCCCGCGCTGCCCACCCAGACGGAGGGCAAAACCCGTCTTACCGCTTGTCGTCCTTGTACCACTGGAAGTCGGCGGAGGGGACGGCGGAGGCTTCGCACAGCAGGATGCCCTTCTGCCCCACCGGCACCCCGGTGCTCTTGGCGTCCGAGATGTACGGCGGGTCTGCGGGGGAAGGATGGGGGTCTGGGTTCGGTGCCTGGCAGTCCCAGGCCTCCCAACCCCTCCCCTTGCTCCTCGAGCTCCCTTTTCTTCCCCCACGTTCAGGAAGGTCTCAAAATCATCTCGGAGCCTGTGTCTAGCTCCCGGCGCTGCCCTCCGGGGGGTTTTGGGCTGATGGAGGACCCCACGCCGCAGCCGAGCGTGGGCTCCTCCGAGGACTGGAAACCCCCCCCGCGGGTTTTGGGAACCGCATGTGCCCCTGTACCAGCCCAAAGCAGCTGGAGGGGGTGGCCAGAGAGGAGCTCAGGAGGGTCTTCCCCTCCACCTCGGAGCACAAATGGTGCTGCGTTCTTCCTTGCTCTCTTTCTTTCTCTCTTGGATTTTTTCTAAAGGAAAAAGCGCCTGTTTACTGCTCACTTCTCTCCTCTCCCCGGAGGCTATCAGCACAGCATCTCACCATGGGCGGAAAACCCAAGTTGAGGGAGACAGCTGAGGAGGAGGTGGTAGAAAAAAATGGAGCTCGAAAAGATGGGGAAAAAAGGGCCAAACACCACCTGCTCAGGAAAACTGCTGCCACTTGTCCTGGCTCCAGGGCCTGAAGGCTAGGTTTGCCCCGCTTCCCAAGTCCCCTCGTGCGGTGGCACCGTGACCCGCTCCATCCCTGTCCCCGTCCCATCCCCAGCAGCCACCCGGGTACTCACAGTTGACGGTGACTTTGACTCGCTGGACGACGGGCGCTGCCACGTCGTTGGAGGCACTGCACTCGTACTCCCCGGACTGCTCCCGCGTGATGCCCGTGATCTCCAGGTACTCGTCCTCGCTGATGAAGCCCACGGCTGCAGGGACAGAGGGAGGGGGCTGTGAGGGATGGGGAGGCACGGCAAACCGTGTCACGCTGCCCTAGGACACCCGCCCCACCGCCCCAAGGAAACCCCTCTCAGAAAGCTGCCTGCAAGCGCTGGATCTCTGCGGTGGCCCCGGCCCCGCCAAGCGCGTCGCTGGCTGGGGACAACGTCCCCAAGGTGTGCGGGGACGGGCAAAGTGGTCCTCGCCAAGCCTGCACCCTGCTAGAATAACCTGAAGTCACCTCTCCCTGGCAACGGCGCGTCCCACCCCACCCTCCTGCTGGGTGGCTCGCCCACCTCTACAGCACCGGAGGGTTTTGGGCACCACATCTCCTTTCCCTTGGTTTACATCTCCCCACCGGATCTCCCGCAGCCGAGATGCCGTAATTACTCAGCGAAGCATCTCCGAGACCGGTGTCACACTTAATATTCCTATAAATTTTAAACGGTCGTCCTTGGTACATATGTGTGGCAATCGGTGTCATATTTTAATTAGGCTTGCCCTACACCATCTGAAATTAATAATAGCTTGAATTACCAGTGTAATTTATAAATTAACATTGCTGCAGCATTAGGAAATAAATTAGCTCTGGACAGCTGTTTCTAGGAGTAAGTGCCAGTGGCAGAGAGGCCGAGCTCGGGTCCCCGGTCCCCGGGGGACGCGGTGAGCTCGGCCGGCAGAGCCGGGCGATCCCGCGCTCGCCCTCGCTACCC